TACTGACATTCAAGGAAGAAGAAAGCAAAAGAAAATCATCGCAAACACTTTAAGTTCAGGCCCCCTTGCGAGTCCCATTGTACGAGTTTTCAGAACAGCTGGGAAACCCTCTGGGACACATATGGGTTTTTTCGCATCAACCACTACTGGAAAGGAATTTTTGAAGGCCAAATTCTTTATGTTCTTTTGAGGGTGGTTGCATTAGAATGGAGATTTCTACGGCTTCGAGAAGAAGCTTAACAACTAGTGATATTCATCACTACGGAAAACGAGAAAGGAGGTCCGGAATCAAAGGTCGTAACGGAATCTGTACTGCTCGGGAAACACCGTGGTGCGAAATTAGGGTTACTGTGGTGTTGCACCAATACAATTCCATCGTTGGTGAATGAAAGGAAAGTGAACTTAAAGGCAGTGCCCACGTTCATTTGATGTTCCCGCGCCCTCTCTGGATATCATAGCCCTCCCTATGAGGATGCAGTATGTACTAGTTTTGCATCTCAAAAAGGCGAGAGGATAGCGCCGTTCGCTAGTGAAGAGTCCGCCCCGCCCACCTGGCCAGCATAGGGTTCTATATAGGGCATTTTCCATGATTTTTTCTGCTTTTTTCTTCACTCCTGGATCACGTAATATAAGAACTTCATAACTCATTATTCTTGAAAGCGGGCTCAGCCTTTAAAGGCTAGGGCAAAGCAGTCATGGCAGCCAGGTGGCGGGGCGGCATCCTCTTCACAAGCGGGTGGCGCCATCCTCTCGTATTTTTGAGCTGCGAAATTAGTACATCCTCCACCCTTGTCGACAAAGCTACGATATTTAAGGAGGGCGTATTAGCATCAAATGAATGCTACCTTTAAGACGAATCCTACCCAGCTAAACGGATCACCTTTCGCTGCATGTGTCCCCTGTGCGTGTACTTAAATGGAGTACAATGGACCGCCTTTCTAAAATGGCGCTGAAATTTGTAACGTTTCGTACATACACTGGAATAGTCTGCTTACCAGTCCTGAAGACATAAGTGCGAAGTCATCTGATGAGTAGAGGAATCCAGGATACGAAGCCATCGAAGTGGCGTAACCCGGGAAGAATTCACGCTCTGTAAAATCACATAATATAACCATTTCTTCAGTTGCCACAAAATTTCGAAATATCTCGAAACCTAGTCACCGTGATTTGTTTTTACTTGGGAATACTCACCATAGCCAAACTTGTAAAGCTTGAGTACCCTGAGCATGTTTTGGAATCCACTCATGGTTACTTGGGAGATGAAAAGATCCGCATTATTCGGTGCCACCTGAAAAATGCTTTCAATGAAAGAGAAAACAACCGAGTTTATGGACTAAGCTGATATCTTCCGGAAACAGGAATAGATGAGGGCCAAAGCGAGCCAGTTGTGAAGGCCCCTTGTCTTTATTGAGATGTCTTCTAACAGCAAAAAAAAAAACAAACCTTGATCAGTCCAGAGCAATGGCCTCCCACTTGGTCCTCGACTGGATCTCTCGTCTTGTTCAATTTCTTCTCCAAGTCGTAGAATTCTCCATTCCAGTTTAAGTACCTTAAAAAACAAATAAAATACAAAAATCATATATTACTTGTCCGGTCGCGACTTCTTTCAGGGGATGCTTCAGCCATCCCACATAAGCGGAGCAGTTTTTGCACCCCTGGCGTATTCTACGATTTGTTCTATAGATTAAACATCATTATCACAATCACTGCTAGCGGTAAGGCGTGTGACGCCGGGTGGGATCTAAGGCAGCTAAGGGCGGTCTTTTTCTGCCAATGATGCCATCCTGATCCCGCTGCAACTGTAACGAGATCTGTCCTGCGTCCGAGCTATGCCTACTTACACGCCTTTTCATTTGCAGGGACCAGACTGTGGCTAACACGAAAAGGGAGAAATCGAAAGAAAGTCAATAACGGGCACTTCGCGGCTCGAAAAATTTTTTGCTACTTTTGCTTCACCATTCCCTTTCTCCTCAGCGATGGAGTGCACCACTTAATGGGATGCCCCGCCACCCCCTCCCCCGCAGCGATGCTCTACCATGCTACAATTTCATCCCACATAGCAGTGATCTAAGGAGTGATCATATTGCTGACTAGACGGCTGTCAGAAGGAAGAAATGTTAGAGCTATTGAGGTGAAGAAAAAGCAAATGGAATTACGGAAAAGCCGACACTACTCAACTATTACTACCCCAATTTTCCGAAAACAGGCCGGATCTTGATCGACTTTTTTCTACGGGGGCAGATTTGGCTGAAAGTTGGGTTCTAGGGGTAATTCGACCTCCTGAACACGAATATCACATCCACTTGGCCTGAAACTGCCTGGCGCCCGCTCCACAGGCGCCGGCGCCAAAAACCCTAAATCACCGAATTCGCTGAAAACTTGTCCCAGGGGTAGTTTGACCTCCTGAACACGAATATCACATCCGCTCAGCCTGAAACCGCCTGGCGCCCGCGCCTATTTCGC